CTCTGAGATTCAGAGGTTTAGTGCCTCTGAATGGGGAGGTTCCCCTCAGTCACCATGGCTAGTAGCCACTGGTAGAGGTCTCCTCTGTGAATTGATCTAATCCCCTTTTCAAGCTGTTGATTTCTGTGGCCATCATGACATCACTACAGTTGCTCTGAACTCAAGTGTGGGAGGGTGGGAGGTGCTAGCTCACATATACTCAGTGCTTAACACGTCACCGGGCAATGAATTCCCCAACAAGCATCTGATGTGATGCAAGATCTGTGACAGGACATTCACACGTGCAGGGCACCGACAGAGGATGTATCCGCATGTGACGGCATGTACCCCTTTAGCGGCTGATGCTCGACTGCAAGGACCCAGTTGGAAGAGACCCAAAAGGACTTCTCTCCGGGTTCAAATAAATTAGATGTTTGCTGTGCAAACTGTCTGCAGGTTTTCAATTTTTATTTGGGTGGGCGTGTTAATATTACTTCCCATCAAAATGAAGATCAATCAATACGAGGATATCAGCCACAATTTCCCTCCCTGGGATGAGTTAGATTCAAGTCCAATAGCTCCTCAGAGACCAACTACATCTTTGGCATATGAGGTTTGACTCGCAAAAGCTCATGCCCCGTAATCTTAAAGAGTTAAGAGAAGCCAATGTTGGACCAGGCCAATGGCCCATCCAGTCCAACACTCTTGTGTCACACAGTGGCCAAAACCCAGGTGCCATCAGGAAGTACAGCAGCAGGGCCAGAACTCCAGAAGCCCTCCCACGGTGGCCCCCCAAGCACCAAGAAGACAGAGCATCACTTCCCCAGACATAAGGACATAAGAGAAGCCGTGCTGGATCAGGCCAATGGCCCATCTAGTCCAACACACTGTGTCACACAGTGGCCAAAACTCAGGTGCCATCAGGAGGTCCACCAGTGGGCCAGAACTCCAGAAACCCTCCCACTGTGCCCCCCCAAGCACCAAAAAGACAGAGCATCCCTTGCCCCAGACATAAGAACACAAGAGAGACCATGTTGGATCAGGCCAGTGGCCCATCGAGTCCTATACTCTGTCGCAGTGGCCAAAACCCAGGTGCCATCAGGAAGTACAGCAGCAGGGCCAGAACTCCAGAAGCCCCCCCACTGTGGCCCCCCAAGCACCAAGAATACATAGCATCACTTCCCCAGACATAAGGACATAAGAGAAGCCATGTTGGATCAGGCCAATGGCCCATCCAGTCCAACACTCTTGTGTCACACAGTGGCCAAAACCCAGGTGCCATCAGGAAGTACAGCAGCAGGGCCAGAACTCCAGAAGCCCTCCCACTGTGCCCCCCCCAAGCACCAAGAAGACAGAGCATCACTACCCCAGACATAAGGACACAAGAGAGGCCATGTTGGATCAGGCCAGTGGCCCATCCAGTCCAACACTCTGTCGCAGTGGCCAAAACCCAGGTGCCATCAGGAGGTCCACCAGCAGGGCCAGAACTCCAGAAGCCCTCCCATTGTGGCCCCCCAAGCACCAAGAATACAAAGTATCCCTGCTTCAGACTGAGTGTTCCATCTAGACCTTGTGGCTAATGGCCACTGATGGACTTCCACCCCATATGTTTATCTCCTTCCATCTTGAAGCTGTCGAATGCTTGTAGCTGCCACCACGTCCTGCAGCAGTGAACTCCACCCTTTGGGTGAGGCAGGTCTTCCTTTTATCTGTTCTAAGTCTACCACCCATTAATTTCCATTGAGTGCCCACGAGTTCTTGTATTGTTTGAAAGGGAGAAAGGACTTCTTCCTCTACCTTCTCTATCCCAGGCATAATTTCGTAAACCTCTCTCATGTCACCCCTCAGCCGTGGTTTCTTGTTGGTCTCCAAGGTGCTCCAGGACTCGAATCCAGCTCTTGTACTGCAGGCCAACATGGGTATCCTCTGAAACGATTTCTCTGGGATGACAGAATGCAGTGGTGCAGCCTGGGAAAATTTAAAACCGTGTGTGTGTGTCTGCATCCCAAATTTGGGGGAAGACCCAACATTTGGACCCTTGTGGACCTTTTCTACTACTGCACCCTCTGAAGCTGCCCTGTGGGTCCTGCCAGAACTTATCGGGGGGGGGGGAGGACAGCTGAAGCACCCCCAAAACTACCACTGGGCAAAGCTGAAGATAATCTCTGGAACAGCCAGAAAGTTTTGCTTACCATGGAACACAGTGGCAGGGGTGTGTCCAGCCACCCACGGACTTCATAGAACTTGACTTTCCCGCTGCAGGTCAATAAGTTCCCCCAAAGTCTGTCCCAGAAGGGTCAGTGGATGCTCAGGAAGAAGCAGAAGAGACTGGATTTCTACCCCACCCTTCACTACCCAAAGGAGTCTCAGAGCAGCTTACAAACTCCGTTCCCTTCCCCTCCCCACCACAGACACCCTGTGAGGTGGGTGGGGCTGAGAGAGCTCTGAGAGAAACTGCTCTTTTTCAAGAAGAAGAGATTGGATTTATACCCCGCCCTTCACTACCCAAAGGAGTCTCAGAGCGGCTCACAAACTCCTTCCCCTCCCCACAACAGACACCCTGTGAGGTGGGTGGGGCTGAGAGAGCTCTGACAGAAACTGCTCTTTTTGAAGAAGAGGAGATTGGATTTCTACCCCACCCTTCACTACCCAAAAGAGTCTCAAAGCGGCTTACAAACTCCTTTCCCTTCCCCTCCCCACAACAGACACCCTTTGAGGTAGGTGGGGCTGAGAGAGCTCTGACAGAAACTGCTCTTTTTCAAGAAGAGGAGGAGGAGATTGGATTTCTACCCCGCCCTTCACTACCCAAAGGAGTCTCAGAGCGGCTTACAAGCTCCTTCCCCTTCCCTTCCCCACAACAGACACCCTGTGAGGTGGGTGGGGCCGAGAGAGCTCTGACAGAAGCGGCCCTTTTTCAGGAACAGCTCTGATCAGAACTACGGCTTTCCCAAGGTCATCCAGCAGGTACAAGTGGAGGAGTGGGGAATCAAACCCGATTCTCCTAGATTAGAGTCCGCGCACTTAACCACTACACCAAACTGGCTCTCATGGGGGTGAGGGAATTGGAGTTGGGATGAATACCCCCCCTCTTCCGCAAACGGAAATGCTGCTCTCCCGGAGAAACTGCATTGCTGGCTGAATGGCAGAGCATCCACTTGGTGTGCAGAAGGTCCCCGGTTGAATCTCCGGCTTCTCTGGTTGAACGGATTGGGCAGGAGGTGATGTGAAAGGCCTCCGCCTGAGACCCTGGAGATCAGCTGCCAGTCTGAGTAGACGAGACTGACTTCGAGAGACTCAGGATTTGATTCAATAGAAGGCAGCTTTATGTGTGTCCAAAGGATGTGTTAACACCCCCCCCCCAACAAACCCCTTGATAAGGACTACTAAGCTTCCTCAGAGTAAACCTACACATCCCTGAGACACAATGAAAAATTTCAAGAGGTGGGGGAAACCACCCCCCGCCCCCCAAAACACACACCTGACCACCTTTCGAGAAGTGCAGAATCTGGGCGTGTGCCAGAGTGTCGCAGCAGGGAGCAACTGCCTTTTGCAAAGACACTCTGCCCATGCTCAGTGGCATTCACAGGCTGATGCCGTAAGTTTTGAACACACCTCAAACGTAACGAAGCGTGGCTAGCCAAGAAGAGGCTTTTCAAGGTGGGAGCAGCTGGACAGAGCGTTGCCAAACTGCCCAGAAATTCAGGAAGGAGATACTGAGATGAACATGGAGGTGGCAGGAAGTACCTTTTCACAGTGGCAAGAAACCAATCGGCTGCTGGCTGTAAGTCACCTGACCTTCAGAGTCAGCAACCTGCCGGCAGAGGCCATCGGGTGGATCAGCCAGTTAAGACCCTGGCTTACCAACCCTGCAGAGCCCCGAGTTCCAATCACACCATCCAAGCAGGCAGGTCTTTTCTCTGTCAAGATGTGGTGGTTCCACAAGGACTTCAGCATATAGATAATATCGCTTTGTGGGGGGGGGGAGCGAATCAATTTATTAAAAGAGAACATGTCACAATGTGGTAAACGCTCCAAACAGCTGACACCGGTGGGAGAATATTAAGGGATGGGGGGAGAGAGACAGAACATGCTGTACAAAATGTACCGACACATTTACGGGCGTTAGAACAGAAATATACACCTTTTTTTCATTTGCAGTGAATATAATTCCACGTCGATCGCACCACAATGGGTTATCCCGGCCCCCCTTTCCTAACACACACGGAGGCAAGGTGAGCACAAGACTGGAATCCAGCCTCCATACAGAACTAGAACTCTGGTCACTGGTTCGGTGTTCGAATCCCGAACGCATTTGGGTGCGAAACCCTCCTCCTCCTTCCCCAAGCTCACTTCAGCTCTGCAGACCCGAAAGTTCTCGGTATTAGAGAATGAGGAACAAAATAAATCATCCAGTCCTCTAGCAAGAGAAGCCGGGAAAGCCCCACACCTTTCTGCGGCGCCTCACCTGCTGTCCGGAAACGACTCAGTTCCGTGAGATGAACCCAGCGATGCAGTAAAGAGGACCCATGCATCCCCCTCCCCAGGAGAAAGCCAATACTGCGGGGAGGAGGGGAGCCTGAGACAGAGAACCTCAGGGGGGCCCTATCGAATTGGTGCCCGTGGTGGGATTTGAACCCGCTCCCTTCTGGGCCAGGGCACATGCTCTTACCGACAGCTGCTCTTCCACCACACCAAAGGTCAAGAGCTGTGGAACTGTAGATCAAGATGGGCAGCTGTGTTCATCTGCCTGCAGCAGCAGAAAAGAGCCAGAATCCCGGGAGCACCTTAAGAGACTAACAACATCTCCAGCAGGGGAGGAGCTTTCGTGAGTCACCGCTCACTTCTTCAGATACGAAGTATCTGAAGAAGTGAGCGGTGACTCACGAAAGCTCCTCCCCTGCCGCGTATTTTGTTAGTCTCTTAAGGTGCTCCCGAACTCTTGTGGAATCGTAGACACTGAAATTACGCCCCCCGTACTCCGACACAGGAGACCACAGCTTTCAACAGTGGGGAGGGGGCAATCTTGCTCCTAGGGCAGCCGTGAGGTGCTGATCTACATCCGTCTGGCTCGCTGCCTACAGCACGCACGACGCAGCTCTGCGCAAAAAGCAGCCCGGTAAAATAAGCGCCAAGTCCCCCACGTGAACGTCAGTCGGATGACTCTTCCCAGTTTTGTTTCTCAAAGAACTTCTGCGCGCAGAATGAAGTCCACTTTCTGTGGGTTCCGTGGTTCTGAACAGACTCCGGGCCGGGGTGTGTGTGTGTGTGTGCGTCGTACGACCGGCAGAGACTCCTGGCTTAAGGGGAGACCTCCCCGCCCTCCCACTGAAGGAGGCAGGGCCCGCGTGAGCTTGGGGGGTGTGGCACTATCCTCTTTGAGACGTGTCGTCGTGGAGACACGGGACGGCTGTCAGCGCTGAATGGGAAGGAAGAGGAAGACGAGGAGGGCGGGCAGCAAAAGAGCAGAGGTCCTTCCCAGCCTGGGCCTCCCGCCCCTGGAACTGGCGCCCCCAGAGGCGGGGGGGAGCAACTGCAGCCTGCCGGGGCGGAGGGCCTTCATGTCCTCCAGGGCTCCGAAGGCGGCTACGGAGAAGTCGGGATCCCCTGTGGTCAGTAAGTCAAAGACGCAGGACTGGAAGTACATGTCCTCCGCGGGCAGAAGGTGGTTGCACTCCTCGGTGGCCATCTCCACCGTGTAGGCCTTCTGGGAGCTCGGCCGGGGCAGGCCGGAGCTTGCCGGGCTCAGCCAGTGCTCCTGGATCCGCTCGTTCTGGGGGCAGCCGTGGAGGCAGAGCTGCAGGTCGGCGCCGTGCTCGGAAGGGCCCAGAATGTCCTCTGGCACACGGACGGCAAAGGTGAGATAGCGGCCCACCTGCCGGATGATGACGGTGCTGCCGATGTGGTGAGCCTGGATCTCCACCTGCCTCCTGTCCGGCTTCTCCAGGATACGCAGGCTGCCAGAGCCTTCCTGCAGCCCTCCGCTCCGCGTGCCGTCGGTGAAAGCCAGAGGCAAGTCCTCCGTGGTCGCCTGGTACACCCTCTGCTCAGAGCAGCCGGGGAAGCTCTTGAAAATCAGTGTGATCTGCAAGAGGGGAAACGGAGATGTTACTTTGGAGAAAGGGAGCTTAACTGAACACGTCACGCTGCGTTACGCCAAGGTCATTCCTGTCTGCTCTCACTGGCAGCGGCTCTCAGGGGTCTTTCATATCGCCTCCGACCTGATCCATTAGACTGGAGATGCCAGGGGTTGAACCTGGGATCTTCTGAATGCCAAACAGATGCTCTGCCACCAAGCAGAGCATCGGTTTCCCATGCCAAGCCTATCTTAAGTCATACCTCCAACACCCAGTCATAAGGACCTAAGAGAAGCCATGTTGGATCAGGCCAACAGCCCATCCAGTCCCACCCTCTGTGTCACGCAGGGGCCAAAATCCAGGTGCCCTCAGGAGGTCCACCAGCAGGGCCGGAACTCCAGAAGCCCTCCCACTGTTGCCCCCAAGCACCAAGAAGACAGAGCATCCCTGCCCCAGACCTAAGAACAGAAGAGAAGCCAGTTGCATCAAGCCCAACCAGTCTAACACTCTGTGTCATACAGTGGCCCAAACCCAGGGGCCATCAGGAGGTCCACCAGCAGGGCCGGAACTCCAGAAGCCCTCCCACTGTGGCCTCCCCCAAGCAGCAGAAATGACAGAGCCTCACGGCCCCAGACAGAATGTTCCATCTGTACCCTGTGGCTCAGAGCCCTTGATGGTCCTTTAATGTCTTCAGAGGAGGCCTGTTTTCATTTTCAACATTTACAGAGTTCAAAAGGATCAGGATCCAGGATAGGCACTGTTGACATGGCAACTTTTAAGGCTTCCATTGATAGGCTTGAAACTTTTTTTTAGAAACGCCATATTTTAAAAGTTAAATCACAAAAAAATTCCAAACATGAGGTAAAGCAATAATTTTAAGAGTCACCTTATGGAACTCACTGCTACAAGGTGCACTGTTGGCCACAAGAGGACTTTAAAAAGGGTAAACTATAGAGATATGGAAGGAAGAAGAGGAGGAGATTGGATGTATACCCCCGCCCTTCACTGCCCAGGGCAGCCTCAGAGCGGCTTACGAACTCCTTTCCCTTCCCCTTCCCCACAACAGACACCCTGTGAGGTAGGTGGGGCCGAGAGAGCTCTTGACAGAAACTGCTCTTTTCCCAAGGACAGCTGTGCCAGAACTACGGCTTGCCCAAGGTCATCCAGCAGGTGCATGTGGAGGAGTGGGGAATCAAACCCGGTTCTCCCAGATGAGAGTCCGCACACTTAACCACCACACCAAACTGCCTCTCAGGTCGGCCAGTAGCTGGGACCTTTGCCATGCCAAGCAGATGCCATGATGCTAAACGGGGGTCTCAGTACTGAGGAGCAGCCTTTGAAATGCTGGGGTAATACAGTGAGAGGGGCTTCGTGTCCGGGCTGTGACGTAGGGGTTTGAGTGTCTGACGTAGGATCTGAGAGAGCCGAGTTCAAATCGCCACTCGTGCCATGGAAACCCGCTGGGTGACCTGGGCCCAGTCACACACTCAGCCTAAGTCACCTCACAAGGTGGTTGTGAAGAGAAAACGGAGGGGAGGAGAACGATGTTAGGCTGTTTTGAGGGCTGGGCAGTGTTCCCTCTAAGCTGAGTTAGTGTGAGCTAGCTCACAGCTTTTTAGCCTCCGGCTCACACATTTTTTTGTCTCAGCTCAGGAGTAGCCAAATCTTTCACTCACAACTTTAATGCCAGTGGCTCACAAAGCAGAATTTTTGCTCACAAGGCTCCACAGCATATTTATTTTATTTATTTATTTTCATTATTTATACCCCGCCCTTCCCGCAAGTGGGCTTAGAGGGAACACTGCCCCCCCCGGGGGAGAACGGTAGAATTTGAACGGTGGAATGATAATATACATCCATAGATCCATGAGATATACTTTTACATATCAATTGAACCTACCGTTATCAAAGCATAGTTTGAGTCCAGTGGCACCTTTTTAAGACCAACGGAGTTTTACTTCTGGGTAGAAGCTTTTGTGTGCATGCAAGTACACGAGTTAGGAAACAGATGTAAGAACTAAGTTTGAGTCCAGAGGCACCCTGGAGGCTGGTGGTACAACTGGACTCAACCCTTGTTCTCGCATCTGTTCGTTAACTCTTTTATTATCCATATGCTAATCTGCTTCCATTCACGGGCCTTAAAAAGGTAAAGGTAAAGGTTCCCTTGCTCAAAAGTCAGTCGAGTCCGACTCTAGGGTTGTGGTGCTCATCTCCGTTTCAAAGCCGCAGAGCCAGCGCTGTCCGAAGACGTTTCCGCGGTCATGTGGCCGGCATGACTAAACACCAAGGGGCATGGAACGCTGTTACCTTCCCACCGAAGTGGTACCTATTTATCTACTTTCAATTTCTTGCTTTCGAACTGCTAGGTTGGCAGGAGCTGGAACTAGAGACGGGACCTCACTCGGTCATGCGGCACACTCGGGTCTCGAACTACTGACCTTCCACAGCCTGCAGTTCAGCGTCTTAACCACTTGAGCCACCGCAGCTCCTTACCAACTGCTTTAATCCAGTCTCAGCTAGACTTATTGCCCAGTTACCTATGCATCTTGACTCTAACTGGCCCCTCCTGGAAATTACCCCCCCACACACACACACCTATACGTAAGGCTTGAGGTTACCCCCCCACACACACACCTATACGTAAGGCTTGAGGAAGTCTGTTTCAATGTACCTGAACTGTGCATGCCCACGAAAACTTTGACCCAGAATTATCTATTTGTTTGTTTGTTTATTGTCTGATTTATACCCACCCTCCCCGCAAGCAGGCTCAGGGCGGCTTCCAATAACATAAATACATGATAAAAACATACATAATACGGATTAAAACACAACAATTAAAATAATACATTACAAAGTGCTGGCGGCGGTTAAAATTCAATCAAGAGGAACGCTTTCAGATGGGTTTCCAGCTTCCAGCATAAAAGTGCCTAGATGTTACTCTGCTCGTCAACTCTTATGGCAGCTGCTCAGTGATGACTTTGCGGGCCGTGCGCTGTGGCGGCGGCGGCCCCTAATTATGTGCCTGGCGGAAGAGCTCCGTCTTGCAGGCCCTGCGGAACTGCGGAATTAAAACTTTGTTGGTCATAAAGGTGCCCCTGGATTCAAACTTTGCTGTATTGCTTCAGACCAACACGGCTAACTCATCTGGCTCCATATCAAAACATGTTTTTTGGAACTAAACACAGCACCTCATTCTTTTGAACTAAACACTGGCACCTGATGAGCCAGTTTGGTGTAGTGGTTAAGTGCGCGGACTCTAATCTGGGAGAACCGGGTTTGATTCCCCACTCCTCCACTTGCACCTGGCTGGATGACCTTGGGCAAGCCATAACTCTGGCACAGCTGTTCTTGAAAAAAGAGCAGTTTCTGTCAAGAGTTCTCTCAGCCCCACCTACCTCACAGGGTGTCTGTTGTGGGGAGGGGAAGGAAAAGGAGTTTGTAAGCCACTTTGAGACTCCTTTGGGTAGTGAAGGGCGGGGTATAAATCCAATCTCTTCTCTTCTTCTTCTTCTTAACCAACAAACTCGATTCCAGTCAAGCATAAAAAAGCATCCAATAGAGACAGAAAATTTGCACAACTTTCTTCTCCCACTTTGTTTATATCTAGAAATCTTATCCATTAACATCTTACATATATATCAGAGTTATTCAATGCTTACTTCTTATATACAATTTTTAGGTCACCAATTTCTTGACAGTTCACCTATCCAATTATATACCTTTTCCCATCTCTTTTCATGTACCTTTTCATTTCTATTCTGCAGCATTAAACTTAAGTCGTCCATTCTCGCTAACTCCAGTATCTTAACTATTAGTTCTTCCTTCTTGGGTATAACCTCTGATTTCCAATTTTTTGCCAATAGCAGTCTAGCAGCTGTTATTATATATCCTAGTATGTATGATTCTTGCTTGTTCTAGCCTTTCGGGATCATATTTAACAGATATATTTCAGGTTTTAAAGCTACATTTTTCTCCATGATTTCTTGGATTATCTTCCAAACCATCTTCCAATATCCTTGTATCTTACTATACATCCACCACATATGGTAAAATGTCCCCTTATTCGTTTTACATTTCCAACATATATTGGGATATCCAATATAACATTTAGATAACTTGTTCGGAGACCAATGCCATCTCCTTATACGCCACCGTTTTCATATATTTTACTGTTTTCCACATACTAGACCATTGTTCATCTTCTATATTTCCCCCTATATCCTTCATCCAAGTAATCATCACAGATTTAATTGCTTCGTCTTGCTCATAGTCTTCCAACAGGAACCTATATAGCTTCTGTATTAATTTATCATTTGAGGACAACCAGATCTTATCCAGCATTATTTTGATCTTCAAAACCTCTTATCATGTCTTTCTTATATCTATCCCTTAACATTATCTGTTCCCACCAAGATAAGTTATTTTCTTGTTGTAATTTTTCTTCTGTTTTCAGTTTATTGTTTTTGCTTAATAACATCTGATAGCTTTCTCTCTTACTCATTGTTATTAGTGCTGGATTAATAAAGGCTTCTAAAGGGGACACCCATCTTGGTGTTTTCCTGTGGAAAACTTCTTTTATATTACACCAAATTTTATTTAGAGACCCTCTTAGTGCATGCCTTCCAAAATTAGAATGTATTTTATCTTTCCCGTACCATATATAAGCGTGCCACCCCATATAGAGATCAAGGTGACACAACACGCCTATCCATCCTTTTAAGGGACTCTTTGGCCACAGATGGAACAGTGGGCTTGATGACTAGTCCTCTGTGCTTTGTGGCTTTCTTGCCCATTTTAATTCTGGTCATCGGTGGCTTTTGTGCTTTCTGATGCTGATCCGACTCATTCCGTTAGCTGGTCTCTCCAGAGGTGGCCTACACATATATTCTAAATAAAAACCAAATAAACTGCTTTCACTTGGCCAATACGGCTTCTTGTCATAACTGACTGCATATTTTAACGATCAATTATTGCTACAGTGCCCAGAGGCTCAGGGACCCTCGCTCGG